GTCAAGGTTTGCAAAAGTGCCTTTGAATTTAAACATTGTGTTACCTCTATGGATATACTTTTGATAAAATTATTAAATTTGCATTTTCTTCAGTTAGTTCCAAGCATCATTAATATCTCTGGGAAAGGCAGCAGAAGGTTATAGACCCAAGACCTCTAGGGAGTTTTATGATAAAGCAGAGATTTAAGGTTGGTTTCCTGTCCCCAGCACAATTATTTATGTATGATGTATCTGCCTTGAAAATAGCCCACATTGAACTGTGCAACACAGTTAAACTTCGAGTTGACCTCAGAAAATATTTTATAATATTTTATACTATGTCAAAAAATGCTTTGTAATAATTTTTATGTTATAAAATGTTTGTTAAAATTTGCCAAATTTCAATTCCATGGGAGACATGGATACTGGATTTTGAACACATTCTGTAAATTAGCCCTTTTGAGATATCTTGATTCAAAAATGGTTGCCCTATGAGGCACTGTTTCAGTCAGCTAAGGATTACAGACATGGAAGTTTCAGCAATATATAGATACATGGTGATACATGGATGCAAAGTTTTATATCCTGCATCCCAGTGTTTGGGATACATAATCACAATATTTGCATTCTGATGACCTACAAATGCTCATTTAGCACATATTTTTAGCCAGCATGTTATGCAAATCTAATCCATATCATTAATTGATGGTTCAGTCTGTTAAATAGGTTTGTATTTTTAAAAGGCCTTATAAACGTTTTTTTTTAAATCCCCAAAACTGCAATACATGAAATGGTTTAAACTAAAGTTTTCATCAGTTGCTAGGAGTTGTAGCCCTAGGCAATAAACTAATGAAAATTGCTATAAAGAACCCTCAATCAAGGAATAACATAAAGAAAGGTATGCAGAAAAAAATGAAGGATTTGACCAAGTAAAGGATAGAAGAACAGTATAGATGGATTACTACATAGATTAAAATAGGAAGATGTCTCACAAAAGCTTTGCTAGAAATTGTAAGAATCACTTTTCCTCCCATAAATGCCTAAATTAGAAAATAAAGATTTCCTATATCCTCAGCTTATCAATTTTATATAGTTTTCAAATATACTTCAACCAACTCAGGCCCAACTTTCAGGCCACAATTGAAGAGATCAAACAATTTCCCCCTCTAGACATAGTAATGACCTGTAAGGAGGAGTCCATACCCCCCCCCCACCAAAGTTCTTTCTTGCAAGGAAGTCCCACTCAGCAGTCCCCTTGACTTCCCTTTACTGTTTACTTCTGAATGAGCATGCCTAAAATTATCCTGCCTCTAAACCTAGTGGATAAATGTTTTGGCTAATAAAGAGGCCTGAAAAGAGCTTGGAATTGTGACCACCACCTTTAGCATTTGCCAGTCACAAAATTTTATCTTTAAAGAACAAAATCACAGCTATAGGCTGCACTCCCATCCAGGCAATCAAAGAAAGCCAGGATACACTTCTTCCTTCCTAGAAAACTCCTAATTAGGCAGGAAAAAAAACCAGGCCAGGGGTTTGAGCACAATACACACAATACTTAAGGGGCAATTTAATGAAAGTCTACTCAGAGGCAAGTGGTCCTTTGATCTCAAAGCAGTCTCCAAAGAGGCATGGGTAGGAAGGAAACCATAGAAAAGGACAGCTCTTTCTTTGTGCCTTTTAAGCACAGTTTGAAAGTATGCTTCAAATATGAAATATTTTAGATATTGGCAGATGATGAAATGAATATGGGTACTATACTACAATCATTCCCCCTTTGAATCAATAGTACCCTTATGGCAGAAAGTCATGGGGTCTTAGAGGTTAGAAAAGCGGATGGGTTCAAAACCAGTCCCAGGCTTGGTCTAGGAAACTGCAGGCTATTAGAAGTGCTACTGCTCAGAGCATGCTTGTTTTCCAGAAACATAGGTTCATCTCGTTATTTTTGCTTCTAGTATTTACTAAGCATATTGCTGGTAGGTTGAGCTGAAAAAGAGTGACTGGCACTCCGTTGGTTGAGGGTAGACCAAAACCTGGGTTTCCCCATCTTAGACTAATATCTTGACTTCTTCCCCACACAGGGACTGATTGCAGTACAGTACCTGTATTCATATTCATTTCATCATCATGCAAAATCTAAAATACTTCATTCTTAAAGCATTATTTCAAACTGTGCTTAATTCCTTATTAAAAAATCAATCATTTTGGGATCTAAAATTATTTTTCTACAGCAGAATGGTACTTACTTGATTGATACTCTGCTTCCAGTAACCTTTCTTCTATTTTATTTCACAAGAACAACCTTGTGAGATAGGTTGGGTTGAAAAAGAGTGACTGACACACACACACACATATCCCGCTGAGAGTAGAGCAAAACTTGGATTTCCCCATCCTAGAGCAACATCTTGACCTCTTCCCCACACAAGGATTCTCTCCCTGCTTTGAACTCACTGGGGTTTACTCATAGGTAAGGATATTAATTTCCAGGATTAATGTAAAATCAGTACAATTTTTGTTTAACCTACATATTTTGCAAATATAATCAATTGATCTTAATTGCTGTTCTGGAATAACCACTGAAGTGGGATAGAACTTTTTACAGAAAATACATAGAAAATAAATATTACAAATTTAGATTTTAAGACTGAGGGAGAAATAGCCCAATATTGAAAACAGAGTTAAATTTAAATTTTAGATAGGTGGGCAGGGGACTAGAAAGTGACAAAGTATTTTGGGTCAGTCAGCCAGGAGCTTACCCTGCACATCTGTTTTGAAAAAGACATAGTCCTCCCTCTGCTCCTACAAAGGATTTTGACTGAGGCATTGATGTTATCTTTCTTGACGGGGTTAGATTTCCAATTAACAGAACCTTCCCATTGCCAGCTTGGAAAAAATTTCAAATTGATAAGATACAGAAAATATTTCTCTCAACCATGGGTTGGGGTTTGTTTGTTTTTTTTGTTTTGTTTTTTGTTTTTGGAAAACAGACCCTTTCCCATTCTCCCAGCTACTATAAGCTATCATCTATCTTCTACAAAGAAGAAAAAGCTAATTTAACACCAGAAATAACAACATCCTGGGCTCAAACAAAATGAAGAATGTTTCAGTTTTCAGGGGCTGACTCAAAGAATAATAAAGGCAGCTTTCTTTGCAAACCAACTGCACTAGAATTCATATGGAGATTCAACCCCATTCTTTGTGGATTAAACCAAATTTGAAGTGTCTTATCACACAAAATGTGCTCAGGATACAAGGATACCTGTTCTCATATCTTATTACTACTTGTTTAAAGTCACTTTTTTTCTTTTACTATTTACTTTTATTTATCTTTTACTATTCCATTTTTCCCAACATGCATGTGTACCTATGCATGCACATACATACATGCATGCACACACACACAAGCGCGCCCACCCACAACAGAGAAGTTCTATGTATATGTAAAACTAAGCTTTCCAGACTAGACTTCCAGGTTTGATGAAAAGGTTGTAATCCACCAAAGGTACATTAAGAGACAATTAATATTTTCAGGTTGCTACAAGATTATACCCATTATTAACATCCTGAAACTTTTCCCCAACCTGGAAGAAGTTTATTTGAAGAAGACAGATTAAGATTACTCTAACAAGCCAGCAAGCTCAGTAGGCAGCTGTGAATGATGTGCATGATAGTTCAACAATCTGGAAGGCTTGGACTGGGGAAGGTTTGTACCTACCCAGCCACAGCCAGCTTCTCAAGAAAATGAACTAAAGCTAACCTAGCATGCAGCTCATTGGTACCGCTTTACCTTCTTGGATTTAGTGTTATCTAGTTCTTGGTTCAATTTGTTTCTCCCACCAACACCTTGCCAAACCTTCGTTCTCATCTAAAAATTACAACTATAATTGTTCCATAAACTGCTTCAAAAAGCCTCCTTAAATATGCAGCCAAATCCATACTTGCAAATAAATGCACATTGGATTTTTTCCCCTTCTGTCTGAAAAAACCAAAAGAAAATAAGAAAGTTGCTGTTACTGTTTCTCTATCTTGACCTTTTTACTCAGAAATAAACTCCCAGGGGCTGATTCGGAGTAGGTAAGAGATCGCAGCTGTGGTAATGGAAACAAGTGTAACTTGACCCTGTGGCCTGGAAGTGAAAAGCACCTCTCTTGTCTTTTTCCAACCAGAGGCAGGCTTGCTTCTTCTCGTTTCCAAACTGGCTGGAGATGGAGTTCCCTATCAAGTTAAAGGTGACTACCTGCAAGAAAGGAGGGCTTCAGAGATCCATTCCCGCCTTCTGGTGTTACATACTTCTTTTGTTGTTGGGTTTTAGTTTCACTGAAACGGATTAGTTAGGATCTAAGCTGTGGGACGCTCTGAACTGAGGGAAGTAATGTCAGAAGAATTTGTTTGGGTATCTCTGAGTTATGCTTCCCCTGCTCAAACATGCCAAGTTGGACTAAACAATGTATGTCCTCTTTCACAATCGAATGTGGGATGCCGAGATTCTCGCCCCCCCACCCCTTCCAGGAGAAAATGTTTTGTTAGAACAGAATTCAATCTAGAACCTTGGAAATGCCACCGAGAATTCGCAGAGTTCCCGGTTTGCATCACTTTCAGCACTCAGAAAGTGAAGAGATCTGCCCTGTTGGAAAGGCAGAGAATTTCCTTTCTCAGTACAATATTGTTGACAAGAAAGAAAAATGGCGGTGCTTCACAGTCCCCAGTTGTAGGTCATCAAACTTAATAGTTTCCATTCGCTTTTTAAAAAAAAATTGTAACCAAGTTCAGCACCGGCGAAAAAGCATTTGCTTTCGACCCAGTCAAGTCCGAGATCTCCAGCCCAAGATGGTGCATATTGTCTCCCACACAAACAAGCATACACTCCCCCATATACATCTCTCCGCAAGAGGAAAAGGGACGCCATCCTAGCACTGCATCCATTTTTTAAAAGACTCCATTGACTAAAAAGTAATTCGTTGGATTTATACGCTGGGAAGTCAGTGGTAGCAATTCCGAATTTAAATGGCATTGCCCTAACTCACCTGGAAAGCTGCCGGATTGAAAGGCGAAGTGCAGTCCTCAAAACCAGCAAACATACGACCCACTCCCGTCCCGTGGAAGCGAAAGTTTAAGTGGGTGAGTCGAGGAGGAGGAACCGCCTGGGCTGGTTCAGGGCCAAGGGGAGGCTGCAAAAAAAGTTGGCGCTCTCCAAACGTTTGGTCTTCTGCCTCTCTAGTCTTCACCAGGGAGGCGGAAGCGGCAGCCTAGCCTGTCTGAAGGCACCCGGCTGCTCGGCCCTGCCGCCTTGACAATGTGAACGTTTTTCAAAGAAGGGGAGAGACCTCAGGTCGCTGAGCCGCCTCTACCGGGAATTCCATTTGGTTGAAAAATCAATTTCCTCCAGCGGGGAAAAAAAGGATTTGGAAAAGAGCCTAAGACTGATTTTCTTCGGGGGAGAGGGGGTGGAGAGCCGGAGTTACTTACCAGAGTTCCGATTCCTGGAGCTTAGTGGGCGTTTCTCTGTAGAATTATGTACCTCCACGACAGGGACACGGCGGCGAGGGAGGGGGGGGGGTGTCTGACGCCGAAATACCTCCCTCCAAGAGGCTGGCGGGTCCTTCTTTCTCAGGTACCCGGTCCCCAGTGACTTGCAGCCAAAAGGCGATTAGCGGAAACCCTTTGAGGAGGAGAAGGAGCAGCAGCTGTTCTTTCTCCCTGCGTGGGACTCATTGCCTGACCCCGAGTACCGCATTCCTTCTGCAACTCTAGTAAGCTTCCGATACCGAGTAGTGTGATGCTCATCCTCTCCTACTTCTAGAGCCCATCTCCTATAAGCTATTTCTCCCAGCCAAGTGGGGAATCTAGAATCAGGTCAGCCAACGTGTCAGGAGACGATTGACCCGCGGCTGGGATCAGGTCCGTCTAGCCTGGCCGCCGTGCCGGCTCCAATAATACGCGGCTAGGTGTATTGGCGGGAGAAGACTAAACGCTGAAGCATCTACTCTCATTGAGCCTCCCGTTCATCACTGTATGGACGGACCTCTCGATCTTGAAGCCCCTCATCCAGAGCATACATGATTACGATCTTTTCCGCAATATGTGCATTGCGCCATTTGAGAAATCAATCACCCGCCGCAAAGCCGCGGCTACGTTAGCCTCTACTTCATTTATTCTTCTGGAAGAATTCAATTCGGCATTCCCGAATCTGGTGCCTTCCAGTGGCCACGCAACCTTGGATTTATGCCCAACACAGCTGGAGGATATCAGATGGAAGAAAGCTGCTTTAAACAGCCTATTGTTTCCTAGAGAGCCCACATCCTGAGTGGACTTGACAGGTCGCTTCCTTAATCAAATGCTCCCCCATCAAACCCTAAACAACTTGTTCACCTCCCTGACCTATCCATTTCCATAAGGGTCGGTCTAGAATTCCAACCAATTCCACGACCCTGCTTTCTGAACGTGATGGGAGGGATAGTTCAAGTACCTGTAGAGGATGCCAGATTGGGGAAGGGTTGATGGAGATTTTTCGTCTCACGAAGTTCTCAGGAAGTTCCAGATCTAGAACTACCTCTTTCTCCATCCCCCCACCCCCCACCCTCCAAACCACTATACCAGGCAAACACTACTTACACGGTTACCACTGTGTGTGATTTTGTGTATGTGAGTATAGCTGAATCCATTTATGTTCACGGACTGTTTGGTCTTGTGGTGGAAGGGAGGGGGGAAACAGAGCAGGAGAAGAGGCACCCCAGTAACAAATGAATACATCATCTATCAATCTGGCGCACTAGCTCCTTCTATTTTTCTCCCTCAGCTGTCATACAGCAGGTTCAGTGGTGGAATCCAATCCAAGACCTGAGGAAAATCCCAAGAAACAGATACTTCACCTTAAAGGCAATACCAGCAGCAAAAAAAAAAAAAAACCAGGGTTAGGGCTGTTAAACAAACCTGTTCTTCAAGGCTGAAAAGACAGACTTGAGACAATATTGGGGGAATGGTAAAAAGACACACGAACATGGGTTCATCTTCATTAAGCACAGAACTTTGGACTGTGATTTATTTGTGGAAGCTGGAATTCTGGTGCTTTTTAAATTTCTAGAGAAACGGCTCTTTCTACAGAGAAGGATTTCTAAAAAGACTTTCTAGAAAATTCTTCCTTTCAAATTTAAGGCAAAAGACTAGCCGAAACTAGCCGATTGGCACCCCAGATTCAAGGACATTCACTCCAAGTGTATCCCCTCCTCCAAGTTAAGGCGAATATTTGAATGACGATGTTGCCGGCAGGTAATTCCTTGTTTAATTCTAAATTTAAAAACATCCCTTAACTTTTCAAAGAAAATGTGAAAGATGATAACCATTATTCTATCCATGGATATAAAAATGGGCGCCTATGCTTCCTTTCAATACGAGAGATACGGTTTCTTTGTTGAATTCTAGAAAACAAGATCTATTTCTACTCCTTAAGTTAACTTGTTGCAACAAACAAAATATCTGTTTTCTATAATAAAGCAGAAATTATCACTTTAGCCCCCCCCCCCAAAAAAAAGGCTCGGAATCCAAGACAGGAAAGTGAATTTTGGGAGGAGGAATGAATAACCCACGTTCAGGAAGGTAAATTATTTCTGTTCCCACATCTCTGTTAATGTTACTTCTATTTCTCCTTCCGGAATTTCCCTGTGATGGGATTTACCGCGACTCGCATCCATTTCTGGCCTTGAGAGCGAGCGCGATTTTAGCCCAAACAACATCTGGAGAGAAGGGGGGGAGCGAGGGACAACAGCGGACGGCGCCCTTGAAAAATTTCCACTAAAGCCTCCCCCACTGAGCCAGATCTCTTTCATTCCTTCCAGCCGGTCTTTCAGGCAGGGACGCGGGGAGGGGGGCGTTTCTCTCTCTCGGTCCCTACTTTCCATCCTATCTTCAGCCGGCAAACCTCGCGACGGTAAAGGCCAGCCCGCTGCCTTCTCCCGCTTCTTTCACGCGTCTTCCCCATAAAATCCCCAGGAAGTTTCCTTCATCCCCCATTTACTACCACCCCGAAAAGCGTGTTCCCACGTGATTTAGGAATGACAGACACACACCCCTTTCTCGCTCCAGTCTAGATTTTCCAGATCAGACTTTAACTCGCTGCGGCCCGAGGCGAAGGAAAGAAAGACAGGCAGGCAGGCATATCACAAAATCTCTCTGCTTCAATCCAAAGCGAAATATTATATTCTTCCTTCTCTCTTCCTTCCCCAATTTTCTCGACGTAATGCGCCATATTGTGGTTGTAGCCCCCCCCTCCCATTTATCAAATCCAACCCACCCTGGCAATTCCAAGAGCTGCGGACTACACGCTACGCCAGCTGTTCAGGTGCTTTAATAATAATAATAATAGTAATCTGGAAGGCACGAGTTTTGGAAATCAGTCTTTTTAAAGAGTTGATAACATTTCCCCTTATTCCCCCCTCCTCGCAAATAAACGCGCGCGCATAGACACACAGACAGACAGACAGACGTCACTCGGGCCTAAGACAAACTGCGCGCATACTTGCTCGCCTGACATTTGGATCTCGCAAACTGCCCCTCTCTTCTTGCGAGAGAGGAGAGATGCCCGGCCGAGCCTCTGATTCCAGTTTGCCGACTACAGGCTCCTGCCTGTCAAGGCTTAGTCCCAGTCCAATGGGCTTTCTAGCCCCCACTTCTCTGTTCCGCTCTGTAGTAAGCGAGCTCAGTTCCAGCCGCTCCGGCTCTTGGCGAAAAGGACCCTCGAGTTCAAAGGCTCTGAAAGCCCCCGGCTGCTGCCCAAAGGCACCAGCCAAAGAGAACCGGAGCTGCCGCCCTGCGCCCTAGCTGCAAAGCCAGGCGGGGGAGGGCGGCGAGGGGATGGGGCTCCTATGATTCCAAGATCAGGAAATCCGAAGAGGCTACTTTGGAAAATCTTCCGCAGCATCCCTCCCAGCAGCGAATAAGCCCCCCCGCCGACAACCACCACCGCCACAACAAAGAAAGCTGAGAAGGGCTGACAAATTTCGAGAGAGAGAGAGAGAGAGAGAGAGAGAGGGAGATCGGCCATTTTGAAAGGAACACCGAGAAGTGAGGAGGGGGGAAAGGAAGAAAACGGCGAAGAGGAGCGACGGAGTGACAAAGAGAGAAGCGAAGGGGAAGAGGAAGGGCACCGCCCGGGGCCACTGAAAGCTCTCTCGGGTGAAAGTGGGATTGGTTTGGGAGCGGAAAGTATTCAAGCCTTACCTGACCGCGGATCCTTCCTAGGGGCGCACCGAAGCAGCAAAATACGGGACGGAAGAAAGGAGAGCGAGTGGTGGGAAAACACACCCCTCGTCCCGTTTATACAGCTCACTCTCCAATTTAAATATATGCATATGTATATAACAGACTCCAAGCAGAGCTTCTGCGGCTGAACTACCGTACGAGAGAGAGAGAGAGAGAAAGAGAGGGCAGGGAAATCAACAAAAGGGCCCTCCCCCCGTCCTCTGGACAGCAAGCCCCGCCCCCTTTGCAGCCACGTGATTCCATTCCTTAGGGTGTTTGCAGAAGAGCCAAGTCCCTTTAAAAAAAAACAATAAATAGAAGCGGCGGCGAACGGCAGGAGAGGAATCCACGGGTCTCCTCTGTCTCTCCGCCTCCAGGCAAGACAAAAAGCAGCTCAACAGTCCAAGCGCCCAAGCTATAGCCAGACTACAGAGGCGTCAAGTTCCTCTGGCCAGCTGAAACAAAACCGAACCGGAACGACCCAGCTATAGCTCAGCTGTACTGGGGAAGAAACAAAAGCCGCGGCTTTGGTGCGCCCTTCCCTTCCCCTCCCCTCTCCTCTCGTCCCTTCGCCCGGTCAAACCCCCGCGTCGGCTGGAGAAAAGAGGTGCCTGCGAAGGCGAGGAAGAAAAGAAGCGTCGAGAAGACATTTAGGATAATCTGCTAAACTGCAATAAAAATCCTGTGGGCTTTGAATATTGAATACACAAATACATGCGCCTCCTGTCCTACAGCCGCAGATTAATTTAACGACAATAAACTCTGCCCCGTTCCAGCTCTATTGAATTCCAGGACTTTTGCTTGAAATCTGAACAATTGCCGCGTGAATAAAACATGCACTTTCCCCCCCCCTAATATAGCATTTCGCGACGA